CCAGATATTTTTCAGATTTTATTAGATAGAGTTAGATAGTGGTGTTAGTTGTTGTTGTTTGTTAGACTGTTTAACTGTTCTAGTTAATTTTTTTAAAGTTTTTTCTTTATTAGTTTGGACCTTTTCCCCTTTTTTCTGTTTTTTCTTCCTGGGATGCCTGGTTCCCCAGGTTTCAAATGCTGCCTGTCCTGCAAGCTTTCCATATCCATTTCAGACAAGATACAATTGTCTACAGTGTGAACATTGTAAGCAGCTCATAGCACATGCAAGAAAGGGCCAGGGAGCTCCAGGTGGAGTTGCTCCTATTGGAAAACACTATACGACCAGCATCTGATCCTGAACACTCAACACCACCCAGGCAGCCATCCCTGTTGGCAGTGTCAGAAAAACCAGCTCCCTAAGGATTAAGCACCAGGGACTCTGCATTGGAGCAGCAATCCAAGAAGCCAGCCCATTCAACTTCCAGAGGTGACTCCCCCTCAAAAAAGTGGGCATCACCTCAAAAAATGCTTTTGGTACCAGCAGAACCTAAGGCTCTGGAGTGAGAGGCACCAGGACCATCAGGCACTGACATGTCCCAAGGGGCTAAGAACCCTACTAGGGCCAGCTCTAAGGTACCGAGCAAGTCAAAGTTTAAGTTGGCACTGCCGATACCTTAATAATCTTCATGGGCACCAAAAAAGCTGTGCTCCAGCTCAGTACCAAGCACTTTCATGCTGCCCCTAGCAGTGAAGAAACACAAGCACTCAGCACCAATGGCATAGCAAGCCCCATCAGCACTGGCACCATCTCCAGCATCGACAACTGCAGGACCAGCGAGGAACTACAAGTCACCTCGGTACCAAGCACACTGGTATGACTTTGTCAAAGTCATTCTCTGTCCATATCCCAAATTCCTCATGAAGGTCCCAACTCCCTTCCATTGTAATGAACCCATTTACTTACATGTCTTCTTCCTGAAACCCCATGCAGATACAGGTAGTGCCCAAGGTACGAATGCATCGATTTATGACCATTCGTCCTTATGACCAACCTCCCATTAAGCGCAGCCCCGAGTTACGAACACAATCCGTGCTTATGAACAGCGTGGTCCCATTGAAATGAATGGGGTCCTACTTACGAACAGATTGAGTTACAACCAAATGCTTGGTACGTAACTAGTTCATAAGTCAGGGACTATTGGTAGCGGAGAGGCTGCTCTACCCACACTGGATGTCTACAAGGCAGTCACATTTTATTTAGATAGAAGTAGACAGATATGCAACTCACCAAGATTATTTGTATCAATTATGGAAAGATCGAGGGGCATGCCAGTTTCCAAAAAGAGCCTGTCCAGATGGAGCTCTGACTGTATAAGAGTGGCTTACCGTACCTTCAGGCAGGACCCTCCGCTACAGCTACATGCTCTTTCCACAAGAGCAATGGCAACCTCTACAGCATACCTGAACAAAACATCTCTGACAGACATTTGTAGAGCTGCCACTTGAAACTTACCTATCACATAGCACTCACTTCAACCAGACAATACTAGCCACCATACATGATAGCGATGAACTGAAGCTCCCTCCTCCGAGTACGAGTACTGCTTCATAGTGATATCAGGTGAAGCTCCCACGGGGACGTTCCTCAAAGAAAAACTGAAATTCTTCAAAATGGTTGTGTAAGCGGGGGAATGGTCCCGCTCTTGTGGGGAACTTTCCTGGCTTCTATACACCCCGGTGAAATGAAGCAGCGAAAGGATCTGAGTCCCCGCTCCCACTTCCTTTACCCCACGGCTCCCTGATCCTGAGGGCTCCCCCTCCACTCTCCTGAGTAGCAGAGCCCTTGAAACCCCAACAAGGCTGGGCCCAGGTTTCCTGGGGCTTAATCCCTGACCTTGTAGTCACTAGGGGCAGGAGTTAGGGTGTCCCCACTCCGAGGTGCTCTCTTTACACTGCAGGCCTTCTTGGCCCAGTGATCACTTCATAAGGTTCAAAGCAAATACAATTTATTAAACATCAACTGATTAAAGAGAATAGAATAAGAAACAATGAGAATGGTTAAATGAGAACACACAGCCCTGCTCTGTAGCACAGGGACATCAACACAGCAGTCTGCAGAGTGTAAGGACAGTTCACAGTCTCTTCCTTAGAAGCCCTGGATGTGCTGCAAGGGGCTGCAGGCTGGACACGCTTGCACTGGCAGTGACCACACAGCCTCAGTCTCTAAGTGGCCAGACCCCTCTCCCAGTCCAGAGCCTTTCCCCACACTTTGCAGGTCCCAGTAGCTCACCACATCCAGCTGCAGGCTGTGCTGCTTGGCCAGTTCCAGCTCCTTGTGTTGCTTCTCTGTTCCTTTTGGCTTTCTGAGCACTGCCAGTCTGCTGCTCAACACAGGGTCTGCACTGCTTGGCCTGTCTGTGTCTGGTTCTGTCGCTGCAGGACTTCTTCTTGTACTCCTCTTTCAGCTCTCTGTCTTTGCAGGACCTCTTCTGCACACAGCTTGTTTGTTCAGAGACAGAGCCAGAACAATCCCCACTTACAACCTGTCAGTCAGGCTGAGCTGGAGTGTTGACTGCTTTCCATTGTCTCTGGGGTCTGTCAGTCTCATGAACCCTTCCCCTTCTGAAGCTGGTAAACCAAAAACTCCCACAGAGTTTTAGTAAGGGGTAACAGTCCCCTTACAGTTGTCTTTGTGGGTGCTCCATCACTTGCCCTTCTTCCCCTCTGCTGCACAGTCACCAATTTCTGTGGCAGACAGGGAACTGAAGGGACAGTTGGCTGCGCATGCAGAGTAGCTGCACTAGTACATGCTGGCTGCCCTGCATGAACAGCCTTCCAAGGGCACTGCTACTTAAATTCTCCATCTAAAGGTACAGAGGCACGCCAGACACCTAAGGTGCAACATCCACACAGACAACCATCTTAAAGAACCTTAGGGTACGGCTACACTAGCTCGTTAGTTCGAGGTAGATAGGGTAATGAGGGCAAGCGGAGTTGCAAATGAAGCCCGGAATTTAAATATCCCGGGCTTCATTTGCATGTTCCCGGGCGCCGCCATTTTTAAATCCCCCTTAGTCCGAACTCCGTGCCCACAGCTACACGCAGCACGGACTAGGTAGTTCAAATTAAAGATCCTAATTTGAACTACCGTTACTCCTTGTGGAATGAGGAGTAACGGTACAAGAGGAAATCTTAGCAAAAGATGAAGTTTGTAGTTTTTACATGAGTTAGCTAGCTCAGGTAAAGACTATGGGTGAAACTCAAGGATTTGTGCCCTCAAAACCAACACAAGAAGTTAGGCTCAGAATTCACCCATTCCTGACTCCAAGTCTGGGCGTGTTTTAATAGACTACACAGGGTGTGTTATGTATAAGTAATCCTAACAGAACAGGCCAGTGCACAGTTCCTGAGACGTGGTGTATGTGCCTTTTATATTTCTGTCTGTATTAATACCTGCTATAACTGTTCTAATGCCTACCTCCCTTCACCAGGTCCTGACTTTCTTGGCATACATGGCAAAAGGAAGAAATAGCAGTCTGATAAATTATACACAGACACACCTGTGCACTGAATGTGGCAGTGCCCCTTTAAGTCACTGTGGCTAGGTAAGAATAGAGCTGGAGGGTTTTCACATCAACAGATAACCTCTTGGGCATGGGAGATGGGACATCTCCTGGGATATGATAAATGTGGCTAGTATCTCTCTCAAACAGTTCAAGTACTTTTAAGCACTAGTCCAGTGATCACCTGCGGGCACCACACTCCTCAGGAGGAAATATGAGTCTTACCAGGTTCTCCTCTTCGTCCAGGCTTTCCCCGCCTTCCTGGAGGGCCTGTGGAAATGAAGTAAAAGAGCGATTTATTACATGGAAATCACTGTCAGAGGAAATGAACCTCACAGGCAACTGGGCCATGAGACAATATGCAACAAGCCATTCCTTTTAAATCCCAAGCTTCCTCACATCTGCCCCCACCCTCTATGCATCATCTGAAATACATTAGGTGTGAAAGACACATTGTAGTATGGCCAGTATCACACAAATCTGCTTTGGAGAAAATGTCTCTGTTTACTGCTCCAACGCTGCAGCTACTCTTGGCCAGCCCTGGCCCCTCCTGGCTGGTCTCCCCCACCCTCTGATATTCCACGGCCAGCCCTGTTCTGCCCGACTCTCCCCCACAACCAGCCCTGCTTCCCGTTGGCCCCCCCATCTGTTGCCTCCCCCCTTCCCGGCCAGCACTGCTCCCTTCTTGGCTGGTCCCCCCCACCAATGAAGTGGGCCACTGGGGAGGGAGAGGAGAAGGGGGCGGGGCACTGATGTATATGGCCAGGGAGCGGGGCCGTGTACATCACTGCCCCGCCCCCCTTCCCCTCCCGCCCAAACGTTCCCTGCAGCGGCCCAGCTGAGTGCCACTGCGGGAGGGGAAGGGGGGGCGGGGTGGTGACATTCACAGCCACACCCCCTGGCCGTGTACATCAGTGCCCCACCCCCCTTCCCCTCCCACCAGGGCCCAGCTGGAGCGGTGCTTGCCACCGTTTGCTCCCCCGCTGGGGCCCAGCTGAGCAGGGCAGCACTCAGCAGAGCACCCTGGCAGGAGGGGAAGGGGGGCGGGGCGCTGACACACATAGGGCATGGCCGTGTACGTCAGTGTTACAGACTCACAGACACTGGGCTACTATATATGTGATTGGTCTTTGATGTTTATGCTTTTAAAGGCCATACAAATACACAAATTGTTTTTCTCAAATGATGATGAAGTAAAAATACTCTTAATTAAAGGGACTTTGATGAAGCATTAACAAATCATTTGACTCAGGTTTAGGAAGCCCTTTTGTTATTTCAAATTTGGCAAACCAGGCAAGAAGCCCATGTTAGTCACTTGAAGAGAAATATTTTTAAAAAGTGTAGAGGCATTTTTGAATAGCATATTTGTGTCCCATCTGTCTAAGATAAAAAGGTTCTTAAAGAGTTAACAAGCTGAAAAAGGGAAAAGGAAGTTCCTTTCTCACAGGCTGAAAAAGTGAGGTGGAGTTTCCTGTTGAAAGAATTAGGGAAGTTCAGTGAAACATACTATTTCAGCAAGCCAGAACCTGAAGTCTAGACCAGAGAATTCACATAAGAGTTTTGGTAAAGCTGCAAGATAAAAAGCTTCACATTTCCATTTTACCTTCAAGAAAGCTTTCAGGTGTCACAGAAAGAGCAAACTATCTTCCCTTTTCCCTGTGGAAAATCTGCTTCCTGAAGCATGGAAGAAGACTGCTAGTCACCACTCTTGGAAATATCAAATTGTGAGTGTTATTTCTTTCACTTTTACTTCCACTTAGGCCTGGTCTACATTATAGTGGGAGTTCAAATTAGGATACTCAATTCCAGCTATGTTAACTACATAGCTGGAGTTGATGTATTTTAAATCATATTTCCACACCGTTCACACAGCAGGAGGCCGATGAGAGCAAGTGTTCCCATCCGCCAGAGGCGTAGCGAAGAAGGTTGGGGGAGGGCAGTTGCCCCCTGGCGCTACATTAGGGGGCGCTGGGCTGGGAGTGAAGCGCACAGCTGTTCTGGCCCACATGATGCTTTTGAACAGAGACTGAGAGTTGGCTAAGTGCTTCAGGCTCTCTACAGTCTGTGAGCTGAGGCAGAAGGGCCGGGTGACAGCAGCGGCCACTTTAAAGGTTAGATTCCCTTACCCAGCTGTTCCGTTCCTCCTGTGCCTGGCTCTGAGGTGGCTGGGGGAAGGATTTGATGGGGGGAGGGGTGCACCCAGCACTGAGGGGCAGGGGCTCATTCAGGGGAAGGGGTGAGTGCATTCAGATGGGGGCACTGGGAGGTCTGGCTCAGGGGGAGGGGTGAGTGCTTTGGGGTGGGGCACGGGGGGGGCTGGCTCTGTGGGAGGTATGAGTGCATTGGGATGGGGGGACGCTGATGAGGGGCTGGCTCTGGGGGGAGAGGTGGGTGCATTGGGGTTACTTATAATTTTTTAAAATAAAAGATACTTTGTAACAAAAGTATCAGAGGGGTAGCCGTGTTAGTCTGAAACTGCAAAAGCGACGAGGAGTCCTGTGGCACCTTATAGACTAACTGAAGTGTAAGAGCATAAGCTTTTGTGGGCAAAGACCCACTTCATCAGATGCATGTAGTGGAAATTTCCAGAGGCAGGTATAAATATGCAGGCCAGGATCACGCTGGAGATGACGAGATGGATCCAATCAAGGAGGATGAGGCCCACTTCTAGTAGCTGATCTGGAGGTGTGAATTCCAAGAGAGCAGAAGCTGCTTTTGTAGTTAGCAAGCCATTCACAGTCTTTGTTTAATCAACAGGAATTTTTCCTAATGTCCACTTAAACCGTCCTTGCTGCAATTTAAATCAAATGCTTCTTTTACTATCCTTAGAGGTTAAAGAGAACAATTTTTCTTCCTCCTCCTTGCAACAACTTTTTATGTACTTCTAAACTGATATAATATCCCATTGCAGTCTTCTCTTCTCCAGTCTAAACAAATCCAATTTTTTCAGTTTTTTTTTACAGTCATATTTTACATTCCTTTAATAATTTTGGTTGTTTTTCTATGGACTTTCTCAAATTTATCCACATTTGTCCTGAAATATGGCACCCAGAATTGGACACAGTTGAGGCCATATCAGTGCAGAGTAGAGATGAAGAATTTCTTCCAGTCTCTTGCTTTCTCCAGTCTAAACAAATCCAATTTTTTCAGTTTTTTTTTACAGTCATATTTTACATTCCTTTAATAATTTTGGTTGTTTTTCTATGGACTTTCTCAAATTTATCCACATTTGTCCTGAAATATGGCACCCAGAATTGGACACAGTTGAGGCCATATCAGTGCAGAGTAGAGATGAAGAATTTCTTCCAGTCTCTTGCTT